AAAGCAAGCCAAAAGGGGTGAGGAATTTGCATAAAATGCTGCTAATTAGGAGCAGAGCCAAGATGAGAATTCTGGTGTGATTAACTGTCGGTCCAGCGCGCAAGGATGGGAACCAGTTTTCAAGTTAACAATTCACTAGTTCAAAGCTGCCAGAGTTCTCCCCTAATGAAGGAAACCAGACTAACCTCCTCTGGGAAAGGAGACTGTGAATAAAAACTTTTCACTGGGCGATCTTGTCACTGTGCAGGAATTCCTAAGCTTTTACCATAGCAGGGACACCTCAGCCAGGTGTCCCAGGAAAAAAAAATGGTCAAGAGAGATGCTTCAAAGATCAGCCACTTGGCTTAACCAGGAAACGCTAGCCAAGGAAAGGACTAGGTCTCTGAGATAGAAAGGTTGATTATGGTTCTGTTTCCTTTCCTCCCATCTTCCTCTTCCTCCCCGACTTGTGGAGACAAACATCAGTGCCGCCTCTTCCCTGGAAAACGCCAAGAGGCAAGAGAGCTGGGAAATGGGGAGAAAGGCCGCTCCCCTCTGTAGTCATGCCTCAAAACCATCAATCCCACCTAACTGGGGTCCTGAGTCCGTATGTTCAATACGGCAGCAGGGAGTGGGCAGTTAATGACGAAGAATAGCCGTAGTGGAGAACACTTATTTGCGCAAATCTAAATCAGCACTATTGACTCTCGAGTTCCTGGATCAATACATTCCCTAAATATTCATGGGAAAAGCTAAAGAAATACAATCCTTTATAAAAAGGAGTCAAGTACCCTGTAACCCCTAAGAGGGGTATGTAGAGTGGAAACAGGAAAAAATTAATTGATCCATGCTTTTATACAGTCCCCTCCCCATCTCCTCAGAAAAGCCACCTAATAAAAGATAATTTATTGATATTTTTGAAACTGCATATGGAAATACCATTTTTTCCACAAATGAAAGTACTGTGACAAGATATATTACCTGAGAACCGTAAGGAAGGTTTTACCCATTTCATGGATTTCTACATTGGCTAGTATAAGACTTCGAGGGGGCAGTCGAAGTCCCCCTGAGAATCCAGGAACTTAGTTATTACTAGCCTAGTTTTGTTTGTAGACATGAGCAAAAACCCAAAGCGCAAAAGATTTCACCACAGATCATTAACCTAATCTAATTGCTGGCAATGGGCAGGTTATCTCCCCCCTCTATAAATCATCCTTCTCAAAGGCATAATGAAATTAAAGTGAATTAAATGTTTGTGAGACACTTGTTAAGTCATAAATTAGGATGCGAATGCGGTTGTAATCCAAATGAGGTTGAGGTTGGCAAAGGAGAGCAGCAAGTAGGTAGGAAGCTGGAGAGATTCCCGGGCTCCAGGAGGTGGGCAGAAGGGAAGATGGCCCCGGACGGCATTTGTTTGGTAGAGGAGAGTGAGGTGTGTAACAAAGGCTAGATTGTGGAGTCTTAATTGCATTATCTGCTAGAGAGTTTATCCGCAAGGTAGACATTTCACCACTGCTCTCTGCCCAAATCAACCAGCGTGTCCCTGGGCTGCTTCCTCCAGACATTCTAGGGTGATGCTCAAAAAACGCACGGAGAATTTAATCATGGGGGTATTTTAGGGACTTAAGAAATCAAGGGTCTTGCATGTGTGTATGTCTGTGTGTGTGTGTCTGTGTGCATGTGTGGAGGGGTGTATGAAACTGTGTATACCCATACATCACTATAAAAGGAAGAGGTATGGGCATAAAGTTTTGGCAATGTCTGTTACTCCAGAGACCCATGTTTTTTCTGCCCTCCGGATGCTTAAAAAAAAAAATGAACATTTTAAACTGTAGCTTTCAAGATGGAACCACGAACTATCATACACATCATCCAGTGATCTTTGGGCTTCTCATCCCCATCAGCTCTGCAACCATTCACCACTACTGTAAACTGGTGTTTTAAGGACTTGGAGTCTAGGGGCAGGCTGCCTGAGTCACATCCCTTCCCCGCTGCTAAATGGCTGAGTGACCTCAGGCAAGTTTCTCAATTTCTCTGTGCATTGGTTCCTTCCTCTAAAAATGAAGAATAAAAGAACGCACCTCATAAGATTGTTTGGAAGATTAAATAAGTGTGTACAACCTTAGCACAGTGCCTGCTAAGTGCTCAAGGATTGTTAATGATGTAAAAGTTCGAATCTTTCCTAAGATGTGGACAGTCCCAGATTCAGTGCTGCCTTTTGCTATTGAGGAATGTTCCCTCACATTTGGCTTAAGATAACCTTTGTTTAGCTTCAGGTGGTCACTGCTGGTTGTCCCTTCTTGGATACATTACCTCATATAATTACCTCCTTTTTAATAAAAAAAATCTTCATTCTCCCTTGGTTCTTTGGTGCTGATTCTGGATTGAGCTCTCAGACAGTCTCAGCTCACAATCTTGGAACCTTTCTTATCTGCCTTTCAATTAATTTCCCCCTAGTTTTTCATCACTCTTCTGAAACTGCCAAGAATTGCGGATAATGTTTGCAGTGTCAGGAACCAGCTGCAGAGGGACCCTGAGAGGCACGGACCTTGTGTTTCTTACCACCCCCAGCCCCCTCAACCCCCTCCCTTCCCGCCAACTATCACCACCACCTCCCCCACCACTTACAGAGTCAAGCTGTGTTTCCATGGTGGGGTTGCTAGGCAAAATCCCATTGCTTATTTACCAGTAAGCAGAGCAGCTAGCAAAAAGCTTTGTGAGCGCCCAGATCTGACAGAGCTAATGTGTTCTTAGGCTAACAAAATTGCTATTTGGGAAGAGATAGTTTGATACAATATTTGGGCAGAAGTGAGAGAATAGTTGTGTATATCTGTCCAAATCTTGTTTTCACACTTTGTTGATTAGATGAGTGTTCCTTCCCTCTCCTTATGCAAATAGCATTATGCAAAACTATTTCCCACGTCCGATTGGCACTATCTGCAGGAATTTTTGAGGAACTCAAAACCCACCTCCTGTAGAGTTCATTTAGTTGTCAAAATTATATGTGCAATTCTTCCAAAGAGCAAAATAAGCTTCATAAACAGGAGGTGGGGGACGGGGGTGGGGGGAGGGCCGGCTCTAAGAGCTCTCCTTCCAGAGGGGGACATATGTGCTGACAATTCTGGAAGTGTTTATTTCTTTCCGACCTCAGAGAGCTAAGCCATACATCCAGTTCTCATTAAGCATCATGCCCAGCCCGTTTTTGGTTACTTCCACAATCTTATTTTTAGAGAGCAAATAAAATACATTTCTATTCATTTGTGGGCTATTTCTTTTTTGATATTTACCCCTCTCTAGTAACTGTTCTTTTTATTTTTGTGTGATTTCTTAGAATTCTGAGGTTAGCAATCCAGATTGTTGTGTCTGGCTGAGAAACTGTTTATTTGTTGTGGTTTTCAGCCAGGATGTTGGAGATTTTATTCAATAACAAAGATACTGCAATAAAAATCCTAGGATGGGAGCTCGACAGGCAGGGCTCTAGTTTATGGTTCAGTTTTGTTTTGTTGAAATGCAAACTCATCACCATGGTAATACAATTGAACTGAGAGTGATTTCTCAAAATGGAAAGGTAATAGGAACTGCCTTACAAAAGAACTAACTTTATTTTCTGATATTATTATGTTTTCTGCAAAGACTTCTTTTGAAAAAGTCCTGTTCTAACTAATGGTCTCAATATCACAATGAAGAGCCATGTAGTACCAACAATTCTATAAACTATGAAGAGAGTTTTTAAACACAATTTGCCTTTAATCTCCATGGCAGAGATACTGTAAATACAGATTAGTGAGACTCGTGCAGTAAAATCTCCATGGAGCCTACTGAAAATGTCATACTCAAAAGCTGAATACACAAATGGATAGTCTCTAGACCAAAAAAAAAAAGAAAAAAAAGA